GGTTCTGGCCGGGCGGTGGTGGCGCACGCCTTTAATCCCAGCACTTGGGAGGCAGGCAGAGGCAGGTGGATTTCTGAGTTCGAGGCCAGCCTGGTCTACAGAGTGAGTTCCAGGACAGCCAGGGCTATACAGAGAAACCCTGTCTCGAAAAACCAAAAAAAAAAAAAAAAGAATTGGTTCTGAGCTTAAGTAGTTTACATTCTATAACCCATTTTCTTTTTAAGATTTATTTTTCATTTACTTATGTGTATAGATTTACTTATGTGGCTAAGGCTAGAAGCCCTCCAACCTCCTTAGAGCTGGAATTACAGGTGATTGTGTGCCACTAGGCCTGGTTGCTCAGAACTGAAGTCAAGTCTTCCATATGTGCAACAGGGGTTCTTGACTGCTGAGCCATCTCTCCCTAGCCTCCATCCTATTTCTTAAATGCTAATTTTCATAGTTCTGTTCTCAGTGACTCTCTTTCCCAGGTCTGGGGATTGAAGCCAAGGCTAGACAAGCATTCTACCAACTGAGCTACATCCTTAGGCCTGCAGTATGTGCTGTACCTAACAAGGGCTCTAGCTTAAAAATATATGTAGATCCCTCTCTCTTGAGTCTTCTCTACGCCCAGCACCTAACATGATACCTAGATAACAGAAGACAAAATTAACTGTCGGGCAGAACCAAGAACGGTAGGTCTCTCTGTCATCCCAGTACAAGGGGTGCTCGCTGCAAGTTCGAAGCCAGCCTGTGTACCGTATCGAAAAGTTGCAGGCTATCATAGAATAGACAGCTACACTGCGTCTCAAAACAAAGGATGAGCGTACGGGCCAATCTGGCTGTGAGTGGACTGCCCCGGCGGCACACACCTTGCTCCAGAGCCTCAGCGCGAAGTCACGCGCCGGCCCGCCGAGATCCAGAGTGTCAGTGTCCCGCAGGCGCTGCACAAACTCCTCGGCGGAGGCGCAGCGCTGCGCGGTACCGATCAGGAACTGCGCGACGTGCCGCTCGCTCAGCCCCAGCACCGAGTGCAGCTCCTCCTGCACCCACCGCTCCAGCCCCGCCGGCGTCGCCATAGCGACGCGTCCCTCTCCGGGCGCGCAACCAAGGAACGGCCAGGACTGCGGCGGGAGCAAGAGAGGCCTGCGATGCTATGGCCTCGCAAAGGCTGCCGTAGAGAATCTTCGTCCACAGTGCGGGATTGGGTAGCTCTACACTGTCTCCCAGGACCGCGAAACCCGGAAAGAGTCGCGTTCTTCCGGCCAGGGCTCGACGGTGGCTGAGCGGGATCAAATCAAGCAGCCTCTTTCCGGGCGCTTTAGGCAAGAGGCTTTCGTGCATAGTCTTGCCCAAGCCCTCCGTCGCCCCCTAATGGTTTGTACGCGGGTGCTGCTCTCAATCAATACAAGCTGTCAGGGTTGGCGAGCTAGTTTCCACAGCCTTGGATAAAAGCAGTACAAATTAGTTTTAGGTAAACAAGGTATATAATAAGGGACTGGAGAGACGGCTCAGTGAACTCGAGTTCGATTCCCAGCACCCACATTTCTCACAAACAACCGCTTATAGCTCCAGTTCCAGGAGGATACACCACCTCTGGAATCTTCTGACACCTGCATTCATGGGCACATACTCATACACAAACGCACATACATGTAATTAAAAATATTTAAAAATTTTTAAAAAGTAAAGGTAATAGTAAAGGTGTAGGTGGAAGTTTGGGTATCTTAAGATTTTAATATTTATTTATTTTGTGTGCATGTGTGTTTACCTGCATGAATTTATCTGAGTGGTGTGTGTGTGTGTGTGCGCGTGCGCGCGTCTGTGTGTTGTGTACAAAAGCCCTTTTAGGTCAGAGATATTGTGTCTCTCTGAAGCTGGAACTACTAGCAGTTGTCATCTTCCTGATGTAGGTGCTGGGAATCAAACGCAAGTCTTCTGAGAGAGCAGCAAGGGCTCTCAACCAAATCATCTCTCCAGTCCCTCTATTGGGGGGGGGGGCTTTATTTTTTTTTGTTTGTTTTTGTTTTTCGAGACAGGGTTTCTCTGTGTAGTCCTGGCTGTCCTGGAACTCACTCTGTAGACCAGGCTGGCCTCGAATTCAGAAATCCGCCTGCCTCTGCCTCCCAAGTGCTGGGATTAAAGGCGTGTGCCACCACCGCCCGGCTGGGGGCTTTATATATATAAACGTTCTACCTGCAAGTATGTATACCACTCAGAATCTGGAGGAGGACATTGGATCTCCTGAAAATGTACTGGGAGTTAAACCTGAGTGCTCTTAGTTGTAGAACCAGCTCTCCAGGTACCATTTAAAAAACAAAAAACAAAAAAACCACGGGGGACTCATGTAGCATTAGCTGGCCTCATATGTACTCTAGAGCTAAAGATAACTTTGGACTCATTTATTTATTTATTTATTTACACCCCTAATACTGCCCCCCCTCCTGGTCCCCCCTGGAAGAGTTTCTCCCCTATTCCCCTGCGACTCTGAGAGGGTTTCCCCCCCCCAGTATTCCCCCCACCCTGGTGCAACCTTGAACTCTTGATCTTGTTCTTCCTACTTCCCAAGTGTGGGGATTATAGAAATGTACTGCCGGGCGGTGGTGGCACACGCCTTTAATCCCAGCACTTGGGAGGCAGAGACAGGTGGATTTCTGAGTTCGAGGCCAGCCTGGTCTACAGAGTGAGTTCCAAGACAGCCAGGGCTACACAGAGAAACCCTGTCTCGAAAAACAAAAAACAAACAACAAAAAAAGAAATGTACCATCATGCTTGACGGAAATGTGTAATTTATATACAATCAAAAGTAATGAGAGGCTATTTAACTAGATTTTATTTCATACCGACAGGGAGTTAGAGGAATGGATAAGGTCAAAATATTCCTCATTTTGCAAAGCAATCCAGGCTGGAGAGATGGCTCAGTGGTTAAGAACACTGACTGCTCTGCCAGAGGTCCTGAGTTCAATTCCCAGCAACCACATGGTGGCTCACAACCACCCGTAATGGGATCCGATGTGCTCTTCTAGTGTGTCTGAAGACAGCTACAGTGTACTCATATACATAAAATAAGTAAATCAAAAGATAAATCTTTAAAAAGCAATCCACATGGATGTTAACAGCTTAGCACATACCTACTGCTAATGGTTTGTTGTGAGATAACCCCTCCCCAGCATAGATGACGCTGGGGGAGCAGAAGATACTAGCAGACACTAACTCAGTTCTTTGAGCTTCAGAGTGGACAGGCATGGATATCACAGGTCTCAGAAATGTGACTGACCAGCTGACCAGCGACAGAACTTGAGTTCTGGAATAATTGATGGTTTTTGTTTCCTTCTCTGCTTCCTATAAAGCTTGTGGCTGGAGAGAAGATGAGAGGCAGTTATTTTAGGATCCACTGCCTTGTCAGATGCAAGCTCTCTGAATAAAGCATAGCTTGGATATTCTTGTCTCTGGTGTTGGTATTTCTATTGATGACAGCATAAATTATATCTGCTCAGGTCCAGGAACCTAAGTGGACAGGATGGTAAATGCTTGAAGTTGTTCCTGTTTAGGTAATTGAGGCCAAAGAATCCCAAGCAAGAGATCCCAAAGGGGGCTGGAGAGATGGCTCAGAGATTAAGAGCACTGACTGCTCTTCCAGAGGTCCTGAGTTCAATTCTCAGCAACCACATGGTGGCTCACAACCATCTGTAATGGGATCTGTTGCCCTCTTCTGGTGTGTCTGAAGAGAGTGACAGTGTACTCATGTGTAAATATAAAATAAGTAGTCTAAAAAAAACAAAAAACGAAAACCTCAATGATCTGCCCTTCTCTGCTTCCTCAGTGCTGGGATTTAATGATTTGTTTTGTGAATGGATGTGTTGCTCACATGTCTGTGTACCACATGTGTGTCCGGTTCCCTGGAACAGGAGTTAGGGAGTTGTGAACCACTATGTACATGCTGGGAGTGAAATCTGGGCCTCAGCAAGAACAAGTGCTTTTATCTGCTGAACCATCTCTTCAGCTCCTGTCCTGTCTTTTTAAAAGACTCCTTCCTGTTTCTTTTTTTTTCTTTTTCTTTTCTTTTTTTTTTCTGGTTTTTTGAGACAGGGTTTCTCTACATAGCCTGGGCTGTCCTGGAACTCACTCTGTAGACCAGGCTGGCCTTGAACTCAGAGTTCCGCCTGCCTCTGCCTCCCAAGTGCTGGGATTAAAGGTGTGCGCCACCACCACCCGGCATCCTTCCTTTTTCTAAAGCCAGATGTGGTGGTGTAAATTTTTAATTCCTGCACTCAGCAAACACAGGCAGAAAGATCTCTCTGTGAGTCCCAAGCCATCCTGTTTTACACTGTAAGTTGCAAGCTATCCAGAGCCACACATTAAGACATACTCTCACTGGGTGGTGGTGGCGCACGCCTTTAATCCCAGCACTTGGGAGGCAGAGGCAGGTGGATTCCTGAGTTCAAGGCCAGCCTGATCTACAGAGTTCCAGGACAGCCAGGGCTCCACAGAGAAACCTTGTCTCCAAAAACCAAAAACCAAAACCAAAAAAAAAAAAAAAGACATACTTTCAGCAATAAATAAACAAACAAACAAATAAATATCCGTGGTGAGGTGATGGAAAGCTGGAAGCAGGCAAAATGTAATTAGGGAAGATGCTGGAGAGATGGCTCAGTAGTTAAGAGCACTGACTGCTCTTCCAGAGGTCCTGAGTTCAATTCCAGCAACCACATGGTGGCTCACAACCATCTATGATGAGATCTGATGCCCTCTTCTGATGTGTCTGAAGACAGCGACAGAGTACTCATACACATTAAATAAACAAAATCTCTTTTTAAAAAAGAAAGAGCCGCGTGCCTTTAATCCCAGCACTTGGGAGGCAGAGGCAGGCGGATTTCTGAGTTCGAGGCCAGCCTGGTCTACAGAGTGAGTTCCAGGATAGCCAGGGCTACACAGAGAAACCCTGTCTCGAAAAAAAAAGAAAGAAAGAAAGAAAGAAAGAAAGAAAGAAAGAAAGAAAGAAAGAAAGAAAGGCAGCAAGAGTTGAAAAGAGCTCCATTTTATTATGGAAAGTTACAAAAATGAAACAAATCGGGCAGCTGACAAAGGAGCGATAGGGAGAAGCCAAGCACCTCCTTAGGGCTCCCCCACACTGCAATTCAATTCAATATGAACCACGTGGAGGAACAGAATTAAATAACTTTCATAGGGTTCAGGGTTAGGATCCCCAGCCTTCCCTCTTGGGGGAAACCGAGGCACAGTAATACTGAGCAAAGTTGAAGAAGGCTACACACCCTCCCAAGTCACTCTCAATGAAACAAAGGGAAGGTGGAGGACCCCACAGGGGCTCCGTGGGTAGGCATGGCTTGTAAACCTGGGACTCTGCAGGTGGGACTGGGAGCTAGGGGTATGTAAACCAGGGCTGTGATCAAGAAAGAGGGAATCTGTAAACAAAGGGGTAGTAACCTAGAAAAGGGGTGTTTGTGGATAGAGTGAGATCCCCGGGAGTGGCTGGGAGTTAAGGAAGGCTGTGGAGCTGGAGGTACTCCATCTCAACTCCAGATAAATTCTGAGTTCCAACCCAGGACTTGATGCTCAGTCTTAGCTCACCAAGGATGCTCCACCCACCGGGAACCTTGGGTTAGGGGTAAATTTAGGCTACTGGCTCTGCCTCAGAAACAGGATGGGAAAAGCAAGTCAGAATATGCCCAGTGCCCTTCCCTGCCAGGCAGGCTCATGGCCAGGTCTGTCGGCTCTGAATCATCCAGACTACAGAATCTTCAGGTATGGGAAGGAGGGAGGTATGTTGCCCAAACTGGAAGACGGTCACCGCCGGCAGGACTCATCTGCAGGAAAAGAGGTGATCAAGTCAGAAGTGGAGAGGGCCTCCCCCCACCCCTACCTCCCCCGACATGCATCCCAGAACTGAAGAATGGCTGACACAAGAGAAGTCTTTGTAAAGTGTTGGATGTGTGCCTGTCACCAGGAACAGCAGTCATCACGGTTAACTGGATTCTGTGCTAGGCATCTTGTTTAATCTCACAATCATCTCAGGAAAGGTGAAGTAATTTAATACCTTGCTATGGTCCCAGGTGCTTTACAAAAGCTACTCAAGTCTTCCAACAACTTCAGGAAGTACTTACTATTATCAAAATTTTTTTTGTGGTGCTGGGATTAAGGCACACAACCTTTTTTGTTCGTTTCAGATGGGGATCTCAATCTGTATAGTCCAGGGTGCCCTGGAACTCACTGTGTAGACCAGGCCGATCTACCTCCGCTTGAGTGATAAGATTACCGGCATGAGTCACCATTCTCAGCTTTAAGGCAGCAATCTCATCACTGACCAACACACCCCGAGGCCCAGGACACAACTGTTAACTCTATTTTAAAGAATGACAAATGAAGGCTGGGGATACTGATTGGCGGTAGAGCACTCGCCTTAGCACACTCAAGGCCATAGATTTGATCCTAGGGTGCGGGCATGCACACCCCACATAAAGTAAACGGCAACCAAGCTCATGTTGATTCAGGATCGCACCTAAGTAACCTAAGTAACAGAAAGGCTGGAATTCAGACTTCGTGCCGTCTGACCCAACACGAATATTTCTAACTAGATTAGAGATCTGGAGAACCAGCGAGCTCTGATTTTGAAATCTGGATTCTCCACGTGCACTCGGTTTTCAGGAATCAGCCAATCAGCCAATGTAGCGAAGGAGCGAATTGGGCCAAGCTCCTTCAAAGTACCACCACTCCATGGACACCAGGGGGCACCCTCCGCCAACCACGTCGCAGCCGCGCAGCCGCTTACCCACGATTAGGGCCTTGGTTCGCAGCCCGCTCTGGAGCCCTGGCTGCAGAAGCAACTCCTCCTCTTCTTCCTCCTCGTCATCGTCGGGCTGGGTTGCTAAGGGGGCAATGGGGGCCTCAGGCTCCGGGCCTAGATCCTCCAGTACCGAGCTCTCAGAAGGGTATTGGTATGTGGTCTCCAGGGCTGTCTCACTGAAGGAGATCTTGAGCTGAGAGTAGGAAGAAAGGAGAAAAGAGACAGGTTCATTACCAGGGGACCTCAAGGAGGGCCTAGAGAGCAGATGCAAGTGGAGAGGGGCTGCTGGCCTTGGCACCCCGAAGACCTTCCCTTCCATCTATTTGGGGCTTCGGCTTTCCCTTACATCTTGATTTTTCCTTCTAATGGTATATCATTCAAAACATGAGGGGCTAGAAAGACAGCTTAGTGGTTAAGAGAGCACTCTTTGCTCTTGCAGAGGACCTGAGTTCAGTTCTCAGCACTCACAACCATCTGTAACTGTAGTTCCGGGAAACATGACCTGATGCCCTCTGTAGGCTCCATGGTAGTGTGCATGTATGTATACAGGCCAGCAAAACGCAGGTTCAGTGGTGAAATCGGTTGTAGCCAGGCTTCTCTGGAACCTCTGATCTTTACAGGGTGCTATGTCAGGTGTTTTCTGGCACCCTACCCCATTAATGCAAACAATACAAAACAAAAACAGCCAGGTGTGGTGCCTCACACCAGCAACTTCAGCATTCACAAGATGAGGCTGGAGGATTACACCAAGTTCCAGGCCAGCCTTCCATGTATATCAAACTCTGTCTAAAAAAAAAAAAAAGAAAAGGGTGGGGTGGGGGGGAGTTTGGAGAGATGGCTCAGAGGTTAAGAGGACTGGCTGCTTTTCCAGAGGACCAGGGTTCAATTCTCAGCATCCACATGGTGACTCACAACTCTCTGTAACGCCAGTTCCAGAGGCTCAGACAACCTCACATAGACACACACTCAGGCAAAACACCAATGCACAAGAAATAAAATAAATTAAAAGTTGACATTCAGATGGAGACAGGTGACCAGTCAGAGGCCAGCCTGATCTACATGGAAACCCTGTCTTTAAAAATAAGCGTGTGCCCTGGGCAGTGGTTTTACACACCTTTAATCACAGCACCTGGGAGGCAGAGGCAGGGGGATTTCTGAGTTCAAGGCCAGCCTGGTCTACAGAGTGAGTTCCAGGACAGCCAGGGCTACACAGAGAAACTCTGTCTCGAAAAACCAAAAATAAGGTAAAACAAACGCGTACACGCATGCACGCACGCACGTGCACACACACACACACACACACACACACACACACACACACACCAAAAAAAGAGACTTTGCCATGGCAAGGTCTGGGAATCTTGGTAAGTAAGGCAGAATTAGTTTCTCTTTCCTTCACTGCTGTGAAGCAGAGGTATTAAACAAACAAGAAAACAAACAACAACAACAACAAAACCAAAACAAAGAAACCTGAAGTGAGATGGGCACTCCAGACTCAAGAATGGATAAGACAACAAGAAGGTTTAGATGAGCCAAGGGGTGCCCAGCGTACAGCAGAGTCCCTGGAATATGCAACCAGTGAACTGACAAGGATAGAGAACAAACTCCGGGCAAACACTGAGTAGGGATGGAGAGAAGGCCACAGGGTAGGGTACCCACAAAAACAGAGTCCAGAGAGAGCCAGAAATCCCCCCAAAACAGGCTGTCTTCAGTGTCCTTCCCCTCTGCCCTCCTAAGGAGCTCTGTGACACAGTGGGATTAACTCTGCAATCCCAAGGGTTTAGGAAGACAAACAGAAGGGGATTCCAGGTGATCTGTCCAGGGCATCTGTGGCCCAGTGTCCCAGAGCCCCCATGTGATTTACAGTATGGTTTAAGGGGTTGAATGAGAGAGGGGGGACAACTTGGTCCCTAAGGAAAGGAGGGTGCCCAAGACTGTATGTCACTCCTTGGGTCCAAATCTGCAATGGCTGCTGCTGCTTCTCCTCTTCTTCCCCGCTCTCCTCCTCCTCCTTCTTTTTCTAAGACGGTGTTTCTCTTTGTGTAGCCCTAGCTTCCTGGATCTGGCTCGGTAGACCAGGCTGGCCTCTGCCTCCCAAATGCTAAGATTATAGGCATGCACCACCACCACCCAGTATTCTGCAACGGTTTATTTCATCTCGCTTAAAAAAAAAAAAAAAAAAATCCAAAGCCTAACCAAATGCAACAGGGTGATTTGCTTCTGTCTCCAGGCCTCTGTGCTGACTGCTCCCTCTGCCTGGAAGGGGCCTCCAGAGCATCCTGTTCATAAGCTGCCACATCTGCATCCTGCTCTGTGTCCTGATCTTTTTACATGCACCCTTGTACCAATATTTCCATAATCACTCACCCGCTTCTAACCCACTACAGAGACCTTCTCCCTTAATATCTCGGGGGAGGTGGGGGGAGTCTGTAGTAAGCCCTCTTCGCACAAAATGCCAGTGTGCTCAAATCCCTTATATAAAATGGTATGGAACTGCATACAACTTATACAGGTCCTCCCATGTACCTTCAGGTTTATTATTATAGAAACTTGGGTGTTTTGCCTGCACACAAATGCTCCATGTACATGTAGTGCCTAAGAAGGCCAGAAGAGGGCATTAGATACCCTAGAACTGGGATGCAGGATTACCACTAAGTAGATGCTAGGAACTGAATCCAGGCTCCCTACAAGAGCAGCAAGTGCTCTTAATAATGGCTGTGCCATCTCTCTCTAGCTCTGTTTTTTTTTTTTTTTTTTTTTTTTTTTTTTATTTCTGAGACTAGAGCTGACTAAGCAGACCGGGCTGGCCTTGAACTTGACATCCATAAATGGAATTAAAAGTCCAAGCCACCAGCCTGGAGGGCCTTGAATATTTTTGGCCTGTGCTTGGTTGAAATCAAGAATAACCCTTGGTGCAGAAGGCCGAGTGCATTCATATACACAGTTGCCACACTTCGTAAGATAAAGGTCCGTCAGGACATCAGCTAAGATCCCAATAGGGAACCAAGGGTACAGAAAATGCAGACAGAAGCGAGGGGTGGCCACTGGATGGTTCAAACCACAGTATCTGGAAAGGGACTCTTACTGGTTCTGTTGTTGACAGATTTAGCCAAATTTCTAGGGCATTCTCCTTTCTTCCTAAGCTCCCTTCTCTAGCCTCTGCAATTCATCATTTGTTCTGTGAAGGAATTCATTTTATCCACTTCATCTACCTCAGTGTCTACTTCTGTCTCTCCCCCTCCCCTTTTGTTTCACCACCACCACCCTCCAGCTTCTGACTGGGCTTCTTAGGAATGCATAACCCGAATTGGGGGGAGCAGAGAGGGAAGTGACTCACTAGATCCTCCCATCAGCTATATAAGGTCACCAGGGGGCCGGGGAAGGAGGGGCAGGTCTCCAGACAAAGAGGATGCTGGGGAAGAGCACACGCTACAGCCCCTCTCCCCCCCTCAGGACTAGGGTGGTGTCTCTCATGACGACAGGTATAAATTTGATAGAAGTAGCCAGACAAGGAACTGTTTAGGAAAGGTGCGAGATGGTGGTAATGGTTGGGATAGAGTCAGGGCAAGGCACAGTAATCCTTGCTAAGGCTGTACAGACAGAGAGCAGAGAGGCGCGAGGGCGTGTGGACTCAGAGAGGGGAAGGAAGAGGTAGATAGGTCTAGGGAACTGTGCAGCCTCCTCCCCATCCCCACCCCAGTGTAGCTGCTTCCTGATTCTCTCACCACATCCTGAGCAGTTCTTTCGGGGCCCAGACCCAGTGTTCCCACTCAGTGCCACCAGCCTTCCGGACCCCCACCCCAGGCTTCCTGTTTGGAAGGTCTGCTTCCGCCCCTCCTACTGGATGACCTAGGTACGGTCCCGCTCTGCACCAGGCTCCTCGGCTTCCCCCAGATGGTTCCTAGGTTTGAGCCACAAAGCCTCGTGCCTCCCTCTGCTCATTCTCCAAAGTCACAAGCCAGCCTCAGTAGGAAGTGACTTTTTTGAACACCTCACCCTAAGAGAATTTCCTGTCCTCTGTCCTTTCTATCTGCCCAGTCCTGAGAAGAGAGAGCCAATAGTAGCCGGGGAAGAGGCAGGGGAAGAAAAGTCACGTTCAAGAATACGATAATGAAAACGGAAACTTTGTACGTGAATTAAAAACAGCAAAAAGACGAACTGGGAGGAACCAAATGGCTCCCAAGCTAAGCTGGGATCTTTGGTCCTCATGGTCACCTATTGACACTAAACACACACACAAACACATTTACATGAAAGAAGGGCGAAACAGGCTTTGGGAAGATGTGTGTTGTGTGGAGGACCTTCTGGTCTGAGGCATCTGACTGTAGTACTGTCTCTCTCCAGAGATTTTTCACTTAGGAAAACTATTGGTACATATTAGGAAGGCACTGGGCCAAAGCCAAAGGGAATAGTTACCCTGTCCAGTGCTTCCTTGCATGTCTGCATTTCAGTCTAACCTCTGACCCTCAGCCGGCCTCAGCCCCACCCCCAGCCCCAACTCTCACAGTGCCTGGACCAGTTGCTGCTCTCAGTTCAGTGCAAATGAACTTCTCTCTTTTTCTACCCCAGGGTAGGGAGAGGCCAGGGTAGCAGGAACAGAGGGGAAAAACCGAGGCTGAGCCAGTTCTGTGGGGGGAGGGGAAGCCCAGGGAGGAAAGATGGGGGAAGGGACTGAGATATTTTGGAAGAGAAGGCTTTTCTTGTCCCCAGAGAGAAGGAAGCACTGTCTAACATTTGCCCAGTCGGGAGGAGGGGTAGGCAACCCTGAGGTCACCCACTTCAAATGGCCTCTTCTTTCGGGGAATGGGGGCTGACTTGGGGTCTAAACTCCTCTCTGCTCTTGAGCCAGCTCTGTTCCACCACCCCACTTCAACTCGGCCTCTGTTCTGGGATGTTCTCAGTTAGTTCTGACCCCTCTTTCTTGGGCTGAGACCTTTCATTCCAACTTCCCTGAACTTCTCTGTCCTGTCCTGTTCCCCCCACCCTCCGCCCCCGGGTTATTTTCAAACGCCGCTTCTCTCTTACCATAACTGGGTCAAAAGCCCAAAGGAAGAAAAGGAGAGGGGACTGAGAGAGTGTGGGGAAAGAAACAAGGCTGGACACACCTGAAAACGACACACCCCAACACAGCAGTTGAGTGCTGAACAGAATCCTTGAGGCTCCAAAATGAATTGAATGGCAAAGGAAGGCTACCCAGAGGAAGGGTGTGTGCAGGGGGAGGAAGGGAGTTGGCAGGAATAAAAAGAATAGAAGACAAGAACACACATATAAAAAAGCCATCCAGTCAGAACTAGAAAGAGACTTCTACCCAGTCAGGCATGGTAGCTCTCTTACCTGTTTGTGATGTCTTTCAGGGGACCCCTTGACAAGGCAGCTGCGGCTGAGACGGAGGTAGCCCCCCAGCACCAAGATCTCTTCTGCAGTTGGGTACCGCTTCTTCCCAGATCCAGACCCTGCAGCATCAGCTGTGGCAGGGTTGACAGGAGGGGCTGGGCTGGCAGGGGGCACACACCTCCGTGGGTTGACAGTGAAGGTGTGTCCACTGCGGCGGGGGGCCCCCACCCCCGGTCCTGGTTTCACCCCATAGAACAGACGGCTCATGAGGGGATCCCCAGAGGGTTGGGGGGCAGTTGGGGCCGAGGGTGGGGGAGACAGAGGGGCTGGTGTTGGGGGCTGGGGTTCTACCGCTTCCTCTTCCTGTTGTCTGGAGCCTTCCGTCCCAGAGTGCTCTGGTGGGAGGGGGGAGGGCCCAGAGCAGTGGTTCTGCTGGGCTCTCAGAGGCCTGCTCTGAGCCCCCGCCTCCTCTTTCTCAGCCTCCTCTTCAGCCTCCACACCAGAAGGTCCCGGGTGCTTCTCTGAAGATGCTGGAGGATCTGGCTTCTGAGTTTGCGTATCTATGTCCCAAGGCGTCCCTTCTCGAGCCTTCCCAGAGTTTAGGGTCCATTTCCAGCCTTCCGTGGGCTTCTGCTCAGCAGTCGCCACTTCTCTAGAGGTGGTGTCTTGAACCTCCTTTGTCACTGGAGTCTGGTCTGGGACAATCCCTGAACTCAATTTCTCTTCCTCTCTCCCACACTCCTCCAAGTAGCCTTTTCTCTCTTCGCTTGACTTTAGCCTCCACTCTGTGGCCTCCGGCTGTATCGAGCTCTGTTTCTGGGGTTCTCTTGAGTCAAGATTCCATTTATGGACCTCTGTCAGGCTGGTCTTCTGGTCGCCAGGCTCCCCAGGGCTCAGTCTGCTTTCCAATACCTCTTTTCTCTTGGGACTGTGATCTCCAGAACCTGCTAATCTCAGGCTCTCCTCTGGAGTTTCTCCAGGGCTCAGCCTCCATTTCTGAGCCTCTGCTGGTCTGGAACTCGGGTCTCTGGCCTCTACTGGGCTCTGCCTCCAGTCTCGAGTCTCCAAAGACCTTGAACTTGACTCTTGGGCTCCTCCTATCACCAGCCTCCTATCTCTGGCCTCCCTGGGACTTAGCCTCTCTTCTCTTGACTCTCTTCCCTTAGGGCTCTGATCTCTTAAATTACTAGGACTTGATCTCCTTTCTAGAGCCTCCAGAGGCCCAGCCTTCCTATCACCAAGCACCTCGTTTCTCTGCTGCTGTTGCTGCTGCTGCCGCTGTCGCTCCTGTTGGATGAATCGGTTCTGATGTACTGGTCCAATAGCCTCCAAAAGAACAGCAGGTTCATCTGGGTCTGGAGGTCCGGCCTCTGCATTCCCAGGCACAAGGCTCCCCTCTCCAGGATGCAGGCCCAACTTGGCTCTGCGTCGTTCCAGGATTCCCCGCTTCCAGGCTGGCATCTGGGACAAGCGATCCCGTTCTGCTTTCTCACGGCCACGAACCGCTGCCTCCTCCTGCCTCCGTCGGGCTAGCAACTGTAGCTTCCAATCTGGGATAGCGGTCATGGTCACTGGAAGTGAAGGAGAGAGTATTGGGGGACAGGAACAGGAAGGGTAAGCTTCAGAGGAGCCCAGAGACTGAGAATGGGGGTGGGGGGAGGAAGTGATGGGGGGAAGGGACTAAGAAGGGCAGAGAGGGACAGTGGAATTAAGAATGAAGATAGAGTTAGACCGTGAGAGGAAGGAGAGCAAGAGAGTCAGGAACTGAAAAAGTGGAGAGAAAATCTGGGTGCCAAGTTGGGGGTGGGGAGAATGGGAGAGGAAGAGTCGAGATTCCGAGCAGAGGCAGAGCCAGATTGGGGTTTGTGGGCACCAGACCGTCCCTAAGATATGGGAAGGGGAAGCAAGGAAAAGCAGGAGAGAGAGAGGAGCCGGAGGAGCCGGGACTGAGAAGTGAGCGGGTTCAGTCGAGACTGTCTCCCCGGTACCCAGGGGGAGATAAATGAGAAGAACAGGGAACCAGCCGGCGAGGGGCGAGGAGGTCGGACGGGATGTGAGGTGAGGACGGATGTAGAGGGCAGAGGTCTAGGGAAGAAGGGGAGACCAAGAAAAGGGCAAGGGCGCCGGCGCCTCTTCGCCCGGGGCCCTGGCAGGTCCCGGCTGCCTTCCCGGCTGCGCTCGGCCCCGCCCCTCAGTCCGGCCCCTACCCTACTGACTATCCCGCCTCCGAGGCGGGTCAGGGGAAATACCCTCCTCGGGGACTTTTGGTACCCGAGCAAGTGTGCAGTCTATGCATTCCCAGAACCCTGGCGTCCACTCGCGTCAAGTCCCTACAGTCTCGCCGGCCTCCCCACCAGATACGCCCCTGAACACGGGCGCGACGAGGACCCACATCACGCCTCTGCTGTCCCCCAACGAGGGACCCGGCTCTCAGGGGACCTTGACCCAGCGGGCCATGCACCAGAGGGAACTGAACGGACAATCTAGGCACAAAGGGGAGGCACTCCATGGGGAGATCTGGAGCCAGGAGGCGCTTCCCTTAAAGTGGAAGCCCCACAGTCAACTTACACGCCTCGGGGTCCCTAGGAGGAGGTGCAGTGGAGTCAGGCGTCGGGAGAGAGGAAGAGGAGGAGAGAGGCGAAGGGAGATCCGGAGGGAGGGGAACAGAGGAGGAGGGAAGAGGGAGCCTAGGAGGAGGGACGGAGACGCAGACAGGGGGCCAAGCGGGGGCGGCGACCGCTTTGTCTACGGACAATGGGGCGAGGGAAGGGGGCGCAGGGAGGAGCCCGGCGAAGGGCGGGGCTTCGCTGCCCTCCTTCCCGCGTGGGACACTGGTGGGACTTTTCTCCAACCGTGGCAATCCCCTCGCTCTCCGTTGTCTGTCTCCAGAGACCTTCACCCGCTTCCTTCCTTGCAGCCCTGGAGAATCAGGGTGTCCAGACCCACTTCTCCAGCTGGCCGACCCGGGGCGGCGGCCCGTGACTCAGGCCCCCTGAGGGACGTGGGGAGGAAGCGGCAGCTGCTTGGAGTCGGACCCGCCCTTCCCATCCCTCTCCGCTCCTCCCCACGCTTTTTCTTTTCCTGACCAGTCTTTGTTACCGTGGTGGAGAAGGCGGCTGCCAGGCCCTGGGGTCTGAGGCAAATGGTTTGGGGAGTTCGCTCTCCACCCAGAGAGTTATTCTATCTCCCACGGGTTCCCTGATCTATACGCGGAGAAACTGTAATATTTGGAGGGAACAGGACTGGATGACTGAGAGATGGGGCGGGTCCATGGGGTGTGGCCCTAGCCCAGCGATCGGTCCTAGAGTGCTTGGCTGTCGCCACAAAAACTAGGTAGGACTCATTTTCCTTCCCACGATTGGTTCTGCGGCTTGAGAGTTATGGACAGACAACTGGACATCCTATGTATAAAATTTTTAATTTTTCTGCAGCGCATATCCTTTGGGAGAACAGGGAGCCTTTAGTCAACCCGAGTTAAAATCGGGAGACATCGTTGTAGGAGACACCACAGAGCGGTAGGAAAGGACCTAAAGCGGGAGTGGGGAAGAAGCACAGCCGTGGTACAATAGAGCCACTACCTACAAACTTTCAGACGGGCCCTGACACACATCTCCTTGAAGTGGAAACGTGGAAGGAAATCCCTGAGGTGCAGAGCCAATAACAGTGCCAGGGATGTGAGTGCTCAAGGCTGACCCTGTGTCTGTGGAGGCCATGCTCTCGGAGAAAAGGAGACTCGAGAGTTTTTTAAACTATTCTTGGTTGGTGAGACATGGACTCTGAAGGCCAGTGGTGGAAACTCTGAATTTAGAGTTCAGGATCAGGACCCTGGAACTGAGATCTCAAGCAGGAGAGGGGACAAGCCCCTTCAGAGCGTGACCTCTGGTCTGAAGCAAACACTTCCTGGATGCTAAGGGATTTGATCTTGAGGTGGGAAAGGAAATACAGGGCTTAGAACTAGCTCCTCACTTTGCTTCCCCGTCCTGGGGTCTGGAGAGAAGCTGGAGTTTTCTTTGTAGCTGAGACCGGAGGTAGCGGAGGTCTTGCTGGTCAAGCCCATGAGCCAAGCCCAGGTAGAGGGTAAAGAGAAGAGCCAGGAGGAGTCGATCAGTGCCCAAGGTGGGGACCACCCACAGCACTGTCAGCAGTTCCACACATACTGGGTGTCGGAGGTGGGAAAAGAGTCTTAGGGCCCGAGGAGACTTGAGAGACAGAGGCTCGCCCAGTCCCAGCACATGGTAATAAACCTAGAAGAGAGAACATTACGGAAATCAAAGTCAAGCCCTCTTTCTCAGATGCCTCAGTCCTCTTCCCAGCATCACCCTCAAGCCCAGGTGACCTACAGTTACTGTCCTTTGCAGGCAAGCTGAAGGAAGGAAAAATCATAAAAGAAGGCAAGGGACTACAAAGCCAAGAGAAGTCAGGAGAGTCCGGGGAGGGAGAGACTCACAGACATAGGTCTCAGGCAGGGGCGTGAGATTCTCACCTGCTTGAGGCCCATCAGTTCAGCGTAGTCAAAGACCAGAAGGATGCTGAAGATGAGGAGCCAGGAAACAACGTGGAGCACAAAGCACAAGAGAGGCACCCAGGTGGCCCATGGTTCAGCCTGAGCCTCCCATAACACTGGGCCTCTGGGTGTCGTCTCCCAGTACCGCATCACCAACTGGGGAAAGATGAGAGATTGGGCATACCAGTGGTCACCCTTGCCCCACAGTGACCTACGATGACTCTTTCAGCCGGGTATAAACAGTTAATATTTACCATGTGGAGGGTTCTGGGTGAGGGTATCAAGGACATGAAGATGACCCATCCATCCCTACCCAGGAGTTTTGCAGACTTGGATGGGATGGGGGCTGGTGGATAATCACCAAACATCTAATGAGAAGACCAACAGGAAGACAAGTGCTATTGTGAAGCCTAAAGAGGTTGTAGGATAAGAACCCCGGAGGAATTCAGATCTGAGGCAATAAAACATGAACAATGTTGCAAGTGTGCTGAGGAATGTCAACGATAGACACCTTTGCTGACAGAGAGGAGTGTATGCCCAGGAGGGATGGAGGCTTGAGTCCTGCGTGTTCTGTTCCTCCAGTCTCCCTTAGCAAGGCCTCATACCTGCAAGGCCAGGGCGGTGCACGCCACATAGAGAGACCTCTGCAGGACGCCAAAGTACCGGGATGTCCACGCCTTCACTGCCTCTGTTGCCATGAGGCTGTGCTGTACCACAAACAGTAGCAGGAGACACAGATCCCAAGCCAAGGAGGCAAGGATGCTTCGGTCCTGTAGGGCAGCCAACCACCCCTGGCGGGCATCTGAAGGAGTTGAGGAGGAAAGAGACAAAAGGCCAGTTAGGATGGCTAGGACATTCCCCTACCCACGTCTTTTGCAGCCCTATGCCATGCAAGATCTTGTCAAAACAAAGCCATTCCCAGTTCACTCTTCTGTTTCTTCAATTTTCTATCTTCCCTAGGCCTCCTCCTGGGGAAGAAGGTTCTTAGGAGAATGGAGATAGGGTCACCCTTAAAACCAAGGTGGGAGGGCTGGGGAGATGGCTCAGTCCATGCAGTGTTGTGTAAGCCTGAGGACCTGAGTTCGAGCCCCAGCATCCCTATACAAAGTCCAACATGGTGTGTGTCTGTAATTTTAGTGCTGGGAAGGCAGGGACAGAAGAATCTCCAGAGAGGCTTGGTGGTTTACACTTGCTGGGAGGACCCAGCTTGGTTCTCAGTATCCACACGGCAACTCACAACCATCATCTCTATCCCCAATTCCAGTGGATCCATCAAACCTCGTCCGTATGCCTCAGGTCTCTGTAAAAAACTCTGTCCCAAGAATATGTGGGAGGCAGAGGCATGTGGGCCTCTGAGTAGCAAGCCAGCTGGGGATACATAGTAAGACTCTGTCTCTCTGTCTTAAAAAAAAAAAAAAAAAAAAAAAA